TATTGTAAACCACTCCCACTCTCTAATGCATATAAACCCTATTGTAAAGCGGCTAATGCATTATTTTCAGTAAAGACTTTACACAATCCGGTGTGGACTCAATACAGCTCACTTCAATTCCACTCAACGCAACTCAGCCTGACCCAACTCAACTCAGCCTCTCGCAACCCAAATCAACGCAACTCAGTCTGACCCAACCCAACTCAACCCAATACAACACAACACAACCCAATTCAAAGCAGCCCAACGGATCTTAGGAAGCCGATCGACAACACTGGTGATATTTAGCCGACATCATACTCCACGATTCAGAAAAACCCACCACAATATTTTCAAATTCTGCATTGTTGTATTTTTTTTTCAGCCAACGACATATTTCAGGAAATGGAATTCGAACTCATTCACACCCAAAATTTCCCGAAGATTATTTCGAGAAGCAATTAAGAAAAAAAGCAGAACTTAATAAACTTCTTTTCAAAAAAAAACAGAATTTAAAGACATTTTAAAAAACAATGAATTATCTTAACTGGAAATCTTTGAAATTTTAAGAATTTTTTAAAATTTTTGAAAAAAATTTTTTTTGTGGTTATGAAATAAAACTTGACTGAATTTATTTACCTTCTATTGAAGATGTAATTATGATGTGTGTTATGAGGGTAGCATAATATCAAAGATTGTCAATTAAACCTTAGATTTTGTCTCTGGCATATTGTACAATAATACTAAAATTTATTTATGAATAACAATAATTTCATGTTAGATGATTAAAATTTAAACGATTAATGTTAATATGATAAAAGGTTAATTTATTTTCTCCATAATTTTGTAAAAAAAAAAACGAAACTCTTAATAACATTAAAAAAAACTTTGCAAGGAAATAACGTGAAGAATTTATATATTTCAAATTTTCAAGCTTTTTTCTATTTTATTCATTGTCCTTTTAATTTTTTTTTTTAACGACAAATTAGCATAACAAAAGCGGTCCGCAGAAGAAGTATTACACATATTTCGGATATTGTATATGTCACATAAAAGGAAGATGAGAAGAAAAATTTGGACGTTTCCTTGATTGAATATGAATTTTTCCGTTTTTATAAAACTAGTTTTTCTTTTCTTCTTGGAAATCAATTATCGAAATTCTTTTTTCCTATTTCGATTTCTGAGAAAAATAATTATGAAAACTTGAGAGATTGAAGTGATTTTATGAAATGTCAAAATGGAAAGAAAATTATTTATCAAATTTAATATTACTTTTCATTTCGAATTCTTGTTAACATGAAAAATTCATTCTTTTTATTGTTTCTTCTTCATCCGTTTCTTTTTTTTTTGTTCCCTCTCTCCCTTTCTCTCTCTCTCTCACTTTCCTTCTCTCTTCTCTCCATGATAACGACACTTTACATTTTGTTATTATTGCAATGTTCATCCATCCGTCTTTTGCTATGGTTTTTTTATTTGAGAAAATTTTTAATTTGAGAAAATCCGGATTATGTTTTAGGTCATTTACAGGATTCACAGAGGAAAAAAGATGAAATTATAAAATATTACTGTCATTTTGACATATTTATTCCTGAACAGTTGCTAGATTTAGTAAAATAAAGCAGAAAAAAAAACAAGTAGTAATGAAATTCCCCGATGAATCATGAAACTTATCGGTCATTTTTAACCATCGATTGGTCATTATAACCATCGGTCATTTTTTTTTTCTTGTTGCAAGATGTTACGATGATAACATGATCAAATATGCTTTATCTGTGATTTTTCAATGAATATTCAATTTAATATTGACTGCTACTGCTTGCATTGTTTTTCACATTTGATTTAGTAGCCAGGAGCAAGACGAGCTGGTGGACAATGGCCACAAGTTCCAGGTGCACCTGAAATAAATGAGTGTTTACAGATCGACGAATCCTGTTTAATTCAAAAGTATTTCAAGGGAGCAGTTTTAAAATCAAAATCTGATGGATAATGAGAAAATGTATCAAAACTGATGCTTTTGAGTTTTAATATTAATGCTTAATAGGACTGAAAAAGTGTACCAGGTTCTCCAGGTGGTCCAACAGCTCCTGGTCGTCCACTTGGGCCTGGTTGTCCCGGTTGTCCAGGAGGACCAGGTATACCTGCCGAGCCAACTGGACCATCTTCACCATTCGCACCTGGTGGTCCAACACTTCCTGGTGGTCCAGGACGTCCCGGAGCGCCTGGTCGACCTGGTGGTCCAACTTCTGTCCTATATGTTCCTGGCTCGCCAGGTGGTCCATTTCTTCCTGGCTGTCCTGGTTGACCTGGTTGCCCTGGTGGACCTCTGGGTCCTTGATCTCCGGGCCTTCCATCATCACCATTCTGACCCGGTGGCCCTGGTGGCCCATCAGGTCCGGGTGGTCCCTTGGGACCAGGTTCACCAGGTGGTGAATCGCATGGGCATTGCGGTGGAAATTGATTTTGAAGTTCAGCATCGAAAGGTGCAGGTGGCCCAGGTGGTCCAAGTTGACCAATTTCACCATCTGTTCCAGGTGTACCATCACGACCTCGTGGTCCAGGTGGACCAGGTGGTCCTCGTGAACATGTGCAACAATCTCCACTTGTATAACTTTCTGTAAATAATTCCGGTTTTTGATATGGTTCATCACGAAGCTCTTGATCATGTAATCGACGTGCCCAGAAATCTGCCATTGTATCACGTTTCACTTCTCGATGTGCCATTACCATACGTGCTAATTTTCCGGAGTCATAACGTCCATTCGTTTCAATATCCAACATTTCCTTCCATATATCTCGAGCCCGAGCCTATAATTTAATCAATGAATAAATTGAAGAAAAAAAAAAAGCATCAAATGGGATGATCCATCATATCTGTTAGAATGTTTGCAAAGTTTTTTTTTCACCTCAATTTTTTCCCATAATCATTTTAATATTTTAATTTCTCAATTATCACAATGCACAAATTTATTTTACGAAAAAAAGTAAGGGAATTTCAATTTCTTTTTTTAAACAGATAAAAAGTTTAAACAGTAATAAAAGGAAAACATACACGACAAAAATCAAGATCTACTTGAACAGATGATTCCAGTGTTTGAATATAATTGATAATTAATGGGAATATTATTAAAATGGAACATATAGCAAAGGTACTGAAAGCAACCGATATAAAAGCAATCGGTTTCAGGCTTTGTCGTTGATTCTTTTTATCCTCCATTATATGAATATATTAGTGATAAGTGATAGCAGGTGATAATAATAGTATTGCACCACTTCTGTTGTTGTTGCTATTAATGAACACCTTTTATACTGAATGTAAAGGAAGGAGAGAGAGAGAGAGAGGAAAAAAAAGAACAATAAAAAGGATATTATTCTATGAAAAAACCGGATCAGCATGAACAAGTGATGATAAAGTAAAGGATAAGAATGTGGATAATGGACAATTTGCTGTCACATTGTTCATTTATCAACTTTCCAAAGGTAATGTCGTTCCAGTCATTTGATCATATGCCATCGGCAGTTTCTACATTTCTTTCCTATCAGTGTATGACCAATCGATCAATCGATTAATCGACCAACCGATCAAACGATATATATATATATATAATGCATTTATTGAACGGACATACATACATACATACAATTTGTTTACTTGTTTATTACTTTTTTCTTTTTTTTTCAATGTTTAAAACATCAGTTTTCAATCCTCAGTAATTTGTTCCAAATTTTGAGGTAACTAACAATGAATTTGTTAGTATCCTCAAAAAAAAAAAAAAAAATGATACAAATGTATAAGAGACAAAATCATTCCTGATATGAAATAAAGTTGAGAAGAAAATAATATTAAAATATTGACATTTAAAAATTGTACTGGAAATTTTTAATTTTGTTTATCACTGTTTTTTGTTTCCATTGATACCTTTACAAGATAACGACAACGTAAAGCTTGCACTACTTATTGAATAAATAAATCACCACTATATTCCCATTATTTTTTTTGCCCATTAACTCAATCTATCATATTCTTACAATGGTTATTATTATAATAGTAATTATAACTAATTCCACTGTAATAGTTATCAGCTATCCATTTGTATTAATTATAAAAGATATTTCATTAGTTCATTTAGAGCCATGGGGAAATTAAGTTGAATATTATGTATCAGTACTATTAATTCGTATTAACTATAAGAGATGTAACACCGTTCTAGTGAATTCCTCATCTACTAACTAGTCTGTCATCTGTCGTCTCTATTATGACAAATTAGTCACAAGTTACCTTCTTGATAAATTGCTCTAAAAAAAACAAAAGAAAAAAAAACATATGGTGACTATGGGACACTCCTTATCATACTCATGACAGAATACATGATGATGGAACAGATCTCGAACTTGTAATCCAGCGCATTCAATAGTTCATGATATCTCCTATGATACCTATGATATCTCCTATGACTTCAGTTACAACTAATTTGTCTTTGCTTAACCATAATTTCATAGTAAAATTATAGAGTACTACGCTTATAGATCTGTTTTCGTTGTCAAAACGCATTTTAAAGCATAATATTTATAGCAAAAGTTTTGGAAGTCTCCAAAATAAAAACAGGGGATGAAGGCACACTATACTAATAATAAAGCTAGAGTGATAAAACAATTTAAACCTATCACAACCTTTTACACGTTAAAAGGATAAATTAAGTATATTGGATGGATGTGAAATAACGGAAAAAAAAGTATGCAAATGTATAAAACGTTGTACCATAACAACTACTATGGGATTATAAATACGAAATTTAAAATTTTAAAAACTACAAAAGACATGCACAACTAAAAATATGAAAAAAAATTTTTTTAATACAATGAGTCCGAATAACAATACGACAATATGGAAAGAAATAGAAACAAGCGAACTCAAAGCTGTAAACAGATGCATTATGAAAAGAGATAAATAAATGTTGGAAGCACATTTAAAATAAATTTTGTTTAATGCAGAAGTAAAGTGCTTTATGCAGCAAATTGATAGATAGCAAATTGATAGATAGATAGCATTCAGATTCGAAGAAATAACTGCCTCAACCACTGCAATTAATTGCAACGTCATAAAACTCCGGAAATTCGGACCGGAAAAATTACCAACCTTTCAATATTTTATTTTTCTATTTAAAACTTTCCATCTTGTCTCACTATTATCCATTGATTTCTTATCATTATTCATTATGGTTAAAACTTTATAAAGTCATGTTTAAAGCGGGATATAAAAAGGGTGTAGTGGCAGATAAAATTTTCGATGATCTATATTTCAAATTAAGTGATAACGAAGTCGTAATTCTGTTAAATTTCGGAATTTTGAACAAGACAGTGATGTGTATATTCCTAAACAGTTCACGCTCCGAGATCTGCAAAACGTAAATATTTCATAAAGATTTCGTGAAATTTGCAGGGAATACACCACGAACTCCATCAGACTGTTTTACACCAAACAACCATCCATCATCCAGAAGATCCTCTTCACGGGCTTCTAGCACTGTTATTACTTCACCTGCATCAAAAGTAAGTTCATCGGTATCTTCTGCGGTATAGCGATGTGTTGCCCGAACTTTGTACAAAATCTGAAACAGTTAAAACAATGACGCAACATCAATTTTACTGCAGATGTACACATGAATCTAGTAAAGTGATGTTCATCTCCTCTCCTCAAATGTAGCAAATCCAATCCTTCTTTTCGTACCACTTAGTCCTTTTCTGATGTGAAATTTTTACTCTCGTCTGTGTCAATTCACGTAGTAACTATAATTCTTCAGTTTTACACAAATAGGTGCGACTTCTCCGCAATTCTCCGACCTTTCACATTATGTCTCAATTTTATGTCGTAAAATAATCCTTTGATTTTCACACATACCAACTTAGCAACGAACGTGTTAGATATACCGTTATAAAAAAAAAAATACCTTTCGATCACCACTCGCTTCTTGACGACTTTCACCTTTCTGTGGTGAGCGTGGTTCTGGATGTGGTTGTTTCCCGTTATCACTTTCACTGAACGGATTTTTTGCATCATCGTCATCATCATCAAATGGATTTAACGAGGCTTTCGAATCCTTTTCACCAACACCATCACCAACAGCTGATGATTTTTCCGACAACTTTTTGTCATTTCGTTCCTCGGTAGCAGGAATAACAGCTGCAGCAGGTGGTGCGTCAGTCAAACTCTACAAGAACAGCATTCATAGAGAGTGCAGGCTTTGTGATTAAATCTTATAGAGAATAAGAAAAAGGTAAGAAAATTGAAAAGTAGAAAGATATCCTTAAGAAAAAAGACTTGAACAATAAAGAACACTTCTATTCTACAAATAGTTCCCCCTTCTATTATGTTATCCGTAATTACAAGTGAAGAAAAACTTCCTATACGTTTTATTTTATATTATGAGTAAACATCTCATATGCAAGTCATCGTTAGAGATAATGAAAAATTATGCGTTATTTCTGTGGTTACGGTTAGAAGGTTGTTCACTGTTATTAAAGAAGGCTTTCAATGTTTGCTATTATACAGTATAGTGTAATGGATGATAAAGATAGCCAGACTTTCGTTTAATCTTAATTAATAACAGTATTAGAAACTAGCTAACAGAAAGCAAACTTATAAACCTGAACTTACTGGATAAACTTTTTTTCCTATATTTTCATCATCATGCTCAGCGTCGGATCTGTTGAGAAGTGCCTCGGATAAAATACGCGGGGATGTTGGTTGAGACTCTCGCACTGGCACCTCGGGTTTTTGTAGTGGTAAGCCTTCGACTGGAATCGATTGTTCATCAGTTGAAGGAGGTGTTACTGAATGATCCGATGTATTTCGCGGAACACGAAGAGAATCAAATGAGTTTCCCAAATTATCCAGTACGGTAACAAGAGTTTTGTTATTCTGCAGTGGAAATAAATGAAAAATTTGAGAATATAAGCAATTGACTTTGACCACTAATTACAGATTGGAACTAAATCGTAGAATTACATTGCAGCCTATAGCGATGACAATGAAAACATTAGTCTTTAAAGTATTCTAACTTTTCATATATATTATAATTAGAACTTTTTTTTGTTTGTTAGCTTTGACTATTGACTTCTTAAAAAAACATAAAACAAGAATTATTATGAATAATGAAGAATAATGAACTAATGAACTACTGACAAAGTTACAAAACTATATATGCGGATATGCTGCTTATGTTTTGATTTTCGACTGACATACCTTGCCACATTCGGTATGATTGGTACTTTCAGCGTTAAAAATTGTCTGAAGTGTATCAACAAAGAATGTTATTCGGCTGTCGTATGTGGCAGGCAATGCATCAACAAGTTCTCTGTTCAATTCTTTATATAGGGCTTCGGCTTGTTGTAGATCTGCTAATGCTTTCATTACTTTTGGATCATCATCGCCCTGGAAATGAGAAGACTACGTAACTCCTTTATACAGCAAAGATTATAGTGTACACAAAACCACATAACATGATTAGGTTACAGTAGTGACGGTCAAGCTATGTCAAAGCAGAGCAAATCTACAGGATAAAGATTATTCAAAGTGACACAAGAGAAGATACGCGATGTTCTAAATAGCTAAAAACAAAGAAATACGAACTGTGAAAAGCTATATTATATTACGTTGTCCTTTGTATCTCCACATATTCGTCCTTAATTACCTATTTAATTCATATATATCCAATTTACCTATCTGATTTGTCATATATTTTTTATTGGGGAAATAAAAATCGAAATCTCAATACTTGATATAAACAAAAATTTATCAATTCACCTATTTATTATATATATATTAATAAAAGATGAGAAACTAACTTTTTGGAACTAGCTTTCACGGTTGCATAATTGTTCCGCGCGCCATCAAAATCAACAAGTTTCCTTCCTCGTTTTGCTACCTTAGCTTTTAAGTCTGAAAATTGTGCCATATATGCATTCACCGAACCCATTACTCGATCATTAACAATTTTCTCGAATTCATCCCATTGAAGATCCAGTGACTGTAATGTGATCAAATTAATGGCACATCAGCATTACTTCCAAGTTACAAATTGGCGTCTAACAACAGCCGATGGTAACTTAAGCTGAAAACATTGTGGGATTTGTTAAGGTTCTGTGCCATTTTGCTGAGTTATCCTGCAATGCTATGCATTTTCTGAATATACCGAAAATGAGCAAGATCGAACATCGATCAGTTTTCTGAACAAGCCTTATAATATTAGCATCAGATGTGCTCGTTAATCTTTTCGACAGTTTAGCTTTCATTGAGACTGCGAACTAACCATATAAGTTACATTTTTGCTTGGTTTAAATCTCCTGCGATGTATATCATCTTGTTCCTCGGCCTTACTCAGCCGGTTACCAATCTCATACTACTGAAGTATCAAAGTAGATCATGGAGGACTGCAGAACGTTATGCAGACAAAAATGCAAGATTTAAATTGTTCGTAATTCAGATTAATTTGAAAACATAAACTCAATCCAAATGACATGTGTTACCCAAGCGTTTTAGAGTGAGACTTCAACAATTTTACTTCTCGTAATGCAATAAAGTAGAAGCGAAACACCCAATTTACATTACCGACATGCTTTTATTAGAACTATAATAGTTAAACAAAAGTTTTTTATGTGAATAATAAAATTACTTGTGTAATAGCACACAAATGTTCACGATCCGGCCAATCCGTCTCGTAAAGTTCTCGTATTGTCTCCCGAAATGTTTTTTGCGCTTGTACCATTGTTCGTAATGCTGCACCGTATGCCTTCAAATCACGATGTAATCTTTCGCATGCTTTGCTTTGCTTCACCAAATTTGCAGCATGTTGATCAAACACATCATCTTGTGTTGCCTTCGCTTTCCCAAGTCCTTCTAATAACTGGAAAAATGGAATTATTTCATTGCATAAAGATTCCGTTTAGGGCTGCTGAAGTCTTCAAGGTCGGATAATCTGATTATATCTACCGGATATGATACGAAATTATTCAGTATTCAGGGTGAACTTTACAATGTAAGCCGTTGCAGCATTTATTTTATCCATCCAACGAGTTGATTTAAGTGATGAGCAGACACATTTAATCTAGTTTCTACGTTTATTTCAGTTCCTTCTACGGCTACTTGCTTATCACTGAATAAATAGAAAACTGTAAACATCGAATATTCGAAATGTCAATAAGCATATTTAATATTTCTTTTAAAAACGAGAAAAAAACTGAAATGAAACTGAACCTTTTCTTTCGCTCGTGCAGTTTGTTTTTTAAGTTGCTTACTGAACAAATCACTCATCTCCTTTCTCTTTTTGTATAATTACTTCAAACACAAGCTAGAAACCCACATACATTTGCAGATTTTGAGAGCTTGAAAACTGAAATTACATAAACAGCAAAAGAAATTCGAAATTTCGAAAAGAAAAAGAAGACCGAAAAAATCGATCTCGACGAAAATCAAAACAAGAAAGTTTTCTTTCCTATTCACTATATTAAATCTTTTTAATCGTCTTCACTTCATTTTATTTTCTTCTAAAGTAATCATAAATTGGAAGATCGAATAAACAACAAATGTAACAATTTATGTACAATTCAATGTAATGAAATGAACCAATAAAAATGAATGAAATGTGCCAATGAAACAACAACCAACAGATCGTTTTAATCCAAATGTCTAGGATTCGAGCCATCAATCAACAGTCTCAAAAAAACACATAGCTCAAACCAATGATGTTATTGCTGCTTTTACAAACTTTCTTGTATACCTTGAACTATTCCTAATACCATTACTCCCAAAACTAGCTTACCACTAAGTATTGATCATTTAACAGGTTTAAACAACATCATTCATTTTTCACACAAATATTTTCTTATACGCAACTGTTGCTGGAGTTATTCCTGAAATGTACAAATAGAGACATAGTACCCTTGCGAGAATTTTTTCATAGGCATATATTTCAGGATGACTATTTTATAGAAGAATATTTCCGTAATAATACTGATTGTAATGCTGTTGAGAGAGGAACAAAAATTTAATAATAATGACTGATTTATCCGGAGAAATAATTTTTCAATCAATTTCTTAAAAGGCAAAGGGAGAATAGGGAAATTAAAAATTCGATTATCCAGTAATAAATGTTGCAATTTGATCCGTATCACACGTCTCGAGTTGTAGGCTATTACCAAATTGATTCTTTTCAATGCTTGAGTAATATCCGAATCTTATAATTCTCAAGGAGTAAAGAAAAATATCCATGGAAAAATCGTTTAAATTACATAAAAAAATAAAATCAATGAAAAAATATACCTCAAAAAAACGTTTTAAGATAATAAACAAATCCAAATACATATTAGTTAGCTTTACTTTCTATCAGTATTCTGATTCATAATTACTGCCTACAGAATATGAAATTTAGAAACTACTTTACATTAAAAGGGAAAAATCACATCCAGACTACTTGTGGAACAATTATTCTAATTAGTGTAAATACAATCAGTTATCCCCAATATTACAAAAATGAACGATAAAAAATATGAATGATAGCAACAGACTCGAGTTACGTGGAAAAAAAAGAACAACCCAAATAAAAACGAGCAGGTAATCATGGATGAGATGAAATATGAATGTAATTATCTGGATAAATTGTTTTGAGTTATTTGCATAAATTAAATGTTCACACTACTTCATATTGTTAAGGTTATGTAGGAATAGTTAAAGAAAAGAAAATAAAAAATGCAAAAACTTTGATTAAGAAACGTTTCACCGAATCATAAGTTTTTCTAATTTTTTTTTCTCGAACTACCTCATTTTTTTTAAATGAATCAATCAATAAACCGCTTTTCAATTTTTTTGCAAATAATTTATCGAAAATTAACAATAAATTGAAAAACTATAAGAAATAGATAGGCTCAAATGTAATTATAACTGCCTCATCTAACAAATTCTTGGCAAACTCCACAATCTACAAATTCCACGTTCCACAACCCATCGTACGGTCTTCCCTTTTGATTAAATATAATAATGACATCTTTTGTACATTTGATAGGAATCAATGAATAAAAAAAAGCGACAAAATCTTTGTCATCTCACTCCCGTATATTTTCATTCCTCTTTTTCTCCCTTCATTTCTCTTATAAAGAGAACATTTACTTATGAAAGAGCACAGACTAATACGACATGGTTCAAATCATCGCCTATGTCAGGTTGATTGACTATCTATGCAAACATTTGGTCAAAAGAAGTTAAGATAACCTATCAACGGGATTGATTGTCGACGGAAAAGAGATAATGATGATCATACATATCATTTAGGATGATCGATATCAATTCTTGATCTAACCGAACTTTGAAGTGTTATTAAAATTGAAGGAACAAGCGAAATATTACGAGGATTTTTATTTGGATAATTGACAAAATTGAGAATTATCAAAAACCATTCGGAACGATTCAACCAACCAATACATATCTGCGAACCACTCACTAGATAATTAAGAAAGAATAGTACAAGATGCTATACCTCACCAACGTACTAGCTGTAGTAGTTTAGGCGACCATTAATATTGAATGGAATGGTTTCTGCAAGCTGCTCGGTATTTCCAAAAAACATATGATAGGTTTTATCGGGCTTCCACACCATGATAAACTCTTATTCCACTAGAAAGATTTATCATAGTACAATGATTGCTATGACATTGTACATATTTATTCGAAACAATAAACTGTCTCACTTAACTGTAACTAGACAAAAGAAAAAAGTAAGGTGGAGTCATATTTGTTTGCTATTAACGAAATGTTTGACGAATATGTATCTATACTACCTACTCAGATCGACAATTCATTAATTAACTCACCATCTGTATGTTTAATGAGTGCATCATAAACCTTACCCAAAATCGACGAACATATCATGAACCTTATCTAGAATCGATGAACATATCACGAAATCTACTTAGGTCGACAATTGATACATTAATTAACTCACCAGCACTTCATCCTACCTTATGGGGATGTCACAACCCATTCCACATTAAGCAGTAGGCTCACTGTCGCATCATTCAGATCAATCGTTCATTTAGTACGCACACACATTCACAAATATATGTAACACACACATACACACACACACACACATACATACATACATACACACACACACACATACACACACACACACACACACACACACACACACCTTCACACATACACCATACACCCATACATATACACATACATATACGGATATATTAAAGTAAGAAGGATAGTTTAGAATTTGTAAAAACCCATCGTTAGGTAAACCCAATCATAATCATATACATTTCCTCCTTTTCCTCCCTAACTTGACCTTCCCATTTGTTTAATTCCATCTCAACTAATGAATCTGAAATTTAAGTGGACAGAAATTAAGAATATAAAATAACATTTATGATGGAAAAGAAGAAACATTACACATCTCATTGATAAGCAATCAATATGTTAACAAATTTATATTAGTCATCATTTTCAGAATGTTACTTAATATCCTTGTTTTTCTTCTTCTCTCAACATTCTACAGTTAAAAATTACCTGGTCATTTACCTCCATTAATGAGTAGAGAAAAAAAAATTCTATTCTTTATTGAAAAATTATGTTACGACAAATTAGTGCGAAATAAGAGTACTTTAAAAAGACAGGTTTTGTCTATTAACTTAGCACTGTTCTTAATTTCCATCCCTACCCTCAAGATCATCTTACTTCTGTTTGTAAAGAGAAATGGAAAAAGCCTCACGGCAGGAAATACTTCTACTCCCGCTTTGTTTAGGATGGCAATGTATCGTTCAATGTAGCAGCAATAAAGGGGTCAATCCAAAGTTCATGTTCTGAGAAAAAAAGATGGCTTTCATCATTTTTTTGAATGATAGAAATGCACTACAATGATTATGAAAATTGAGAAAAAACTCGATACATTACCTGAGCCAAGTAAAACAAGTAGTCTTAAATTCCATAAATCAAGGAAAATTTGATGAAAATAGTGTCGCATATCCAATGCAGCCTGTGACAACTGTTCCAGAGCAGAAGACTATCGGTTACCTCATAAGTTACATTTTTGCTGAGGATACAAAAATCAGTAAAATATTACTATGGAAATAAATTGTAGGATATATACAACCGAATCTTGCAAATCTTCAATATGTGGATCATAAACTTGATGTTAGAGTTGTGCTGAAAAAAGTTATCATACTTGACCAAGTGCATAAATAATCACTGATAATCGCTTTACTAAAAACGATGCACGTTTATGCGCACAAATATAGAGACGCTCTAAATGTAAGGAATAAAATGATATACTTTATATAAACGAGGTAAAAGTTCCCAGAATAATGTGAACAGAAATCATGTAATCTAAGAAAATCTCTCAAAATTACAAATTTCAACTTATTATATGCTTAACAACAAAAGAAAAGGGGAAATTTGAAACAGTAAGAAGACAGTAAAACTTGAAATAATGTATAGCAGGCGGCAAACAACTAACAAAACTGATAGGCAAATAAAACATTACATCGTGTTTTCTCCTAAAGCACTGAAATATTTGGTAGGAAAATTCTAAGACTTGCAACATCGCTATCTGAAATAGATTCAAAATTAAACAAATCAACTCAAAAACCAAGTAGGAGAGAAATATGGATGGCTCTAAAGGTGGTCAAGACGAATAGTGTCAGCACATATAACATCAAAAAGTGTAGAACAAAATGAAATAGTGATTGGAAACAAGAGAAGCCCTTAGTTAAAAAAAAAATGCTGACAGGAGACAAAAATATCGAGAAGATAAAAATATCGAAAAGCACTCCATCAAACATATTAATGTGCAAAATTAAACATCCGAAACTGAAACTTGATCAATATGCGGTAATGGTGGTGATAAAAGAATACTAATATTAGAAAAAAAGTAACAAATGAATTGGATGATGGTATGAATCAGCAAAAAAAAGCGCTTGACACAGCACTTGTAAAATATTAAAGGAAATACTGAATAATGTTTATACACCTAAACATTGAACTAAACACCAATAAATGAAAACTTTATGGATTACACAACTCTCAGGTAACTGCGAAACATAAGAAACCAGCCGATGTATTGGGGTAACATCGCCAACCATAACTATAATATATAAATCATTAAGGAAAGAAGAAAAAAGGGAAGAGTTTGGCAAATTTTAATGAAATGTTTGTAGATAAATAAGTAATCAATCATTGTACACTCCGAATAGCAAAAATTTAATGAATCTCTTAATCCTTATGAAAACGATACTCTACTGTTACATGATGAATAAACTGAATGAACACTGGAAAGGATACACAGAGAATACTATGTAGGACACTTCTATGAGCTCCAAACACGTCGCTGATATTCCGGTGGTGCCACTTCGTAATCTGTTTCAATATCAAAAAACTTATGACGATTAACTTCGAGGAATTTCAAAAAATTGTGCACTTGATTCACAATAGCTTCAATCGTTCGATCACTCCAATTTGTCAATCTGTAACGTGAAAACACTGTGAACCAGCTGCTACCAATTGTTTTTCGTAAAATGAAAACAAATTAGAGAAGTTTACCAAATAATATACAATAAATTTATATTAATATTTGCATTTCAGTGCGAAGTTAATAGTCATATACTGCCGAAACATCTGGAAATCAGTATAAAGTAAACAATCTACTAATGTAATATCGTGTTACCATGCCAGTAGAAATTTATTGTATGGCAAACTGCTTCATTTCCTTTCATTTTCAAAGATTTTACATTTTTGGTGATGTGAATTCTCTTCTCTATGCCTAGTCATCCATTTTGGTAAGGAAAAAAAGCTACAGAATAGTGAAATGCAAAGTAAACCATAAGATTGCTAAATCCTCAATCAAAAATGGAAATGTTAATAGCTGCCAAATCCTTTTTTCCCCTTCCTCAAATAATTTCAAAAAAAATATGATTGCCAAATTCCAATATGAGGATAAACTGAAAGTAATGTTGATATTAATGTGAAAAACTTACCCCAACATATGACCGAAACGAACAAACAAACGAAGGAGATGAATGAAACCATAGTATTCAGAAGGCTTAAACTTGTCATAATCGTCCGTAATTGAATCTAAAAAGAAAAAAAAAGGCGGGGAATCAATGAATAAAAACACATGAATAGTACAGCTTCGTTTCGAGTGATTTAAATTCAGTCGAATTCCCTAAACATTTCAAGCTGTGCATGGAACAACAATTGTTTGACAAATTACAATAATAGGAAATAATCATACTGACCATCACCATCGGTCACATCACTACGTTTTTTCTTCGTATCTTTTGTTCCTCCCTGAAAATTAATGATGAAGTAATTGTTTAATAAAAGTAAGGTTGTGGAAATGGAAATTTCCTCTAACACACCTAAATCTCTAGTTGTATGGCAGAAAACGTGCAAACTGCTATAGACACCGATGGAGAAAATTTGCACCTGTTTCACCTTATGTTGAGAAAGGAGGTCGGCATACTGAGGTCGCTCAAATTTGTACAACAACTGTAATCCCAATGAATTGTTAAAGTAATCCTGAAAGATACAAAAATAATGAAATATATCAAATATTTCGTAAAAAAGACCAAATCTCATCTATAATACATAATGATCCTGATCCTGAAAAAATCAAAAACAAAGAAATGGATGGCATTTGGATCTTGAAAAGAGATCTAATTTACCCAACATTATACTTAAACAATCATAGAGGGAGTTGTGTAGGATAGAAAAATTTGTGATAGGTTGCGAATGGAATAAAAACGAAGTAGAAATCAAATGACCTGTATACCGTAACTGCTCTCAACCAAGGTAACCACCATGGAATTAAGTTGTGTATCATCGCTTCCAAATTCAAACGTTAAAGTATCTTTCGCTTCTACACATGTACCCATATAATCTGCATACTGTAATAAGAGAAATATTTTTGATATTTGAATATCAGTTCAAATACTTGAATATTCGATTCAAGATCCAAATGTTGGCTGAATCAATCATTAAGTAATTATTCTTCTGCAAAATACCCGGCATAAGATTCAAAAGAAAAGAGAAATACACCCTCATTTTCCCTTTCCGTTTGATGCACTCTGCTGATCAACAAATTGATTGATCTGTTTTTCTTTTTTTTTTTTTTAAACCTAACATCGGAAATGTTTACTATCAGGGTGACCAACACCGGTTATCGAAGCAAGATAATAGTAAAAATTTGCATAGCCAACTTCATTTATTTATAAATTTACATAGTACCATCTTTGCTTCCTAGCGACAGATAAAGCGACTGACATTTAGAAACAAATAAGATATTGAGTGATAATAATGAGCTGGTTCTCAAGGAGGCAAATACTTTGTACAAATACGATATTATCTTGATATTCTAACAAACTGTTCATCCTTTAACCCCTATAAGTTAGATTTGATCAAACCTGACGAACAATGCTGGCTACTGTATGGCGTGCTGGAAGTCGTGGGAGATACATCTGACGATTAACCATATCGTGATCATCGACCAGAATGTCCTTCAGCACTGATGGTATCTAAAATTAAAACAGAATCCACATATCTAGAGGGTATAAGTATCGTGGAATGTATTGTAAAATTTAAGTAATCCTAAGGCATATGATTTGAGCTGTTAATTGCAATATTTCCACCAATAATCCTTGACGATCAACAATATACCTTGAAATTCTAAGCATCATTTCTCATTACGCTTGAGAAATGAAAATAGTATTTAAAATGCTCCAAAAGGAGGGTATCTTCTGCTATTCTTTCTTTCTTTAAATAGATAAGAAATGAGCTGTTACTAGACAACAAATGAGAAATTCAGACGAAGAGTGACTGCCAGAAAACTGGGATTCAAACATATATAGTAATAAGATGGATTACAAAAATAAGGTCAGGACAAACACTTACATCAATTTTGATTTCATTTTTCCTGACAAAATCTGAAACTGGTTCGCTCTCCAGCTGCGTACCCGGTTTACGTTTTCGCATAGTCCCTGAACAAAAATTCCCATTTTTGAAACTTTTCTAACTGAATGAACTCCCATTTTAAAAATAACTCATTACATTTTCTGCTTTAAAATTTTACCCTTTTATTGATCATTCCTTCAAAGCAACATACCTTTGTTAGAACCAGAAATTTGCGCGTATCATTTCAAAATATGCTACCCCTTCTCACCAATCAAAAAGTAAGAAAAACCGTAACAGCAAACCGAAACAGTAAAGCAACAAAATAAACTGATTACAAGTTTGTCATTTCACATGGATGAGATATTACCTTACAATATCTATTCAACTCTAAATTCTCCTGATTTAACTCTAAATTCTCCGGAAGACCCGAGCAACGATTACTTCATGGGACCTAACCTAAAACATCCCTTACAGCATCAAATTTCTAGAAATATATAATTAAACAGATAACGAAACAGAAATAGATAACCTTTGTCCGATACAATACTAGCAGCTCGACTTGTCGATGTTCCACGCTTATCCGATGGTGTACTCCCTCGGCTATCGGGTCCACCACTCCGCTTCTCATCCAGAACATTCGATTTCCGACTACGTCGTTTGTTTTGCGCTAACCGAGCCTGAGCATCTCTCATTTCCGCCTAAAGAACTGGAAATTTTCTCGCATCAATCTTGGCCAGCCCCCAATTTAATTTTATTTTTCCATTAGCTTACTTGGGATTCACTGATTTCATTCTGCGGCTATTTTTTTTTTTTTTTGCCCTTTATAAAATGATGGACATCAATTAATCCGACGATAAGAAAAAAGCTAATTACCTGTTGTGTTAATTGATCTCTATGAAATTTGCAAGAAGGAAAGAGATGAATTATTTTAATAAAAGCTTGAATAGATCATTTCATGAGAAAGCTTGAACAAACCAATAAAACCTGAATAGACCATTTTATGTACTTTTTTTTTCTATTAACCTCCCATTACATTTACCAAATTTACTTTCACACGCATATCAAGTACTCTTGTCAGTCACTTTTTTTTCCGGTGGGACCGTATTCTCATCATTCTAAAACATTATTTTATATGAACTATGATAAGACGATCAACAACGATTAACAATGTTTGAAACTAAACTGATTTTCCAGCTCCTTCAACCACTGATGAGCAATTAATTGTTTAAAAATTTATAAACCTAAAATATATGCGAACATTACCAAGTCTTTTTTTCGTGTCCTTTTTGGAAGCCCTTTTATAAAGATAAGAGAAACTAAGTATTTAAAATAATTTTTGATTCCTTTCCTCATATCAGATCTCCATTTATCAGTGAACACGGCTTACCCAATAAAAAAAGAATGTTTGAAAAACCAAACAAATTCAAAGTTGTAAAGGCTCAAAGTTATAAAAAAAATAAATGTAAATAATGAAAGTCCAATTTATAAACACTGCAATACAACAAATTTTCATGTTCTTGGAAATTAAACAAACAAAATTTCCTTTAGACATCTATACACACCCTGAGATTTCTCTCCGTTCATTGTCCAATAACAAATATACATTTGAAGATGCGATTCAAGAAATTTCAGAGAAAGTTAAGTTCCAGGAAAGTTGTGCTTGAAAGTTAATCTTTCCATGAGAAATAAATCCACAGCAATAGTACCAATCGTTCAACCTATTCATTACATTATTTGCACTACATATTAAGCTAGTGAGACAGTCAGTACTAGAGCAGGTCGATCAGATGACTGAAATATGTAGAAGCTGAGTTAAATACGGCATAAAAGATGATTTGGACTTTTGGCAGTCAGCTCTCTAAGATCATAATTAAATACTACGTAATAAATAAATGATTATCCAATCTCATGTAAGATAGCAGTTATCGAAGTTGTGTAGGAAGAAAGAAGAGAGACAATCCACCTTAGTCATATTTTCCAGAAAACCTGAGAAGTCTCGTCCTAATTCAAATTGACCAGATGACTTAATCTTATTCACTCCCCTCTCTCTTTCCCTCACCTTCCCTTCTTGAGCTGGAAAAAAATACCCTACGTTTGATTCATCATAAACATTCGTCCTAAAATTAAAATGAAATTTAATAAAAACTTTATAAAATTGATAGTTATGACGCAATGTACTTTACAAAAACACGTTCATAAATAATGGAGCAAACAAAGAGGATTATAATATTTTTACGGCAGTAGTTCGAAGCAGAATTAAGAAATCAGCTCTAGAAGATCATAATTAAATAATACGTAATAGATTATCTAATCTTTAATTTTCATAATAGACTTCCTCCATTGTGAATTACTGTTACGGTAAGATATTTCATAAAGTTTAAATGACAAATTCCTGAATAATCAGTTCATTAGGACTCCCCTTTACCCCTCTGCAATAATCCATTTCTGTAGTTAATTCCGAAGACACAATGGTTTATCGTATGGTACCAGTAACTTCGAAAATGCAACTGAGAAGCTAGGATATCATATTCAGCAGCAACAACGTTTGACTGTGGATGTATGGACGTCCTATCCAACCAACACCAACAACATGCAAACGTGGGTGTTTTGCCCAACAATAACAAGGTGTGAAACGTATATAAATATATGTGTATTTATTTATTGATTAATTTATTTATGGGCATTAGTAAAACTCAACATTGTCATCTTTTAAAAATTTAGAAAAAAAAACTTTTGTTGATTGAAATTACTAGTTGAAACATTTGAAGGAACCTTTGCACGCTCCACATTAGCTGTTGTATATTCTAGAAAACGACTACGTGTGCTGCTATGCTTAATTTTTTCGTCATGTCGTTGATTCCAACCCTAAAAATTGAAATGAAATTTGATAAACACTAAACAGAATAACCAGCTTAACGACGGTCAAATGAATCCGGGAAAGACACATCTGAATTAGTTATGTCTGATGTATATATCTGAAATAAATATACTTGGTGTGGAGTTGCATATCACTAAAGCTGTCTGAAGCAATTTATAAAGAACATAAATATCATACCTGATAGTGAACGGTATAAATGGGTTCTCCATCGATGCTATGCTCCACGTTAATAATTTTTGCTTCATAATAAAGATTATCCAAGTGTTGACAGAGTACCTTGGCATGTAATTCGTAAACATCTGAGGCTTTCACAACTTCCTGTCAAATATGATTATAAAATGATTATAATGAAAATTCTAAAATCTACGGTTAAAAAGTATGTAATCAAAATCAAACTCTGAAGTATATCGTAAGTTATTCGCACTACAAATCAGTTAAACTGAATGATACAAAACCATTCATATTCTGGTCTTTATCAAATGATATCATGTTTTGGGAATTTCCGAGTATTTCTCCGGAGGTATTAAGCACTGCAGTATGCTAATATATGGAAGACAGCTAAATGTATTTCAAATAGTTCTTCAAATTAAAATATAAGAAAATCCAACCTTTGCTGTATCCTTGGTAGCGCTGTTTTCCTTTTTCGGAGGCATCGTTTAAATTCCGTAACAGAAGAATAATACAAAAGAAGAAAAGCAGTGCTAAATTCAAGTAGTTTCTGTAAAAAATATGAAAACTGTTACCGATTTTAAGTGAACAGAAAATCTGACCAAATTCGTTGTCGCATATAAAACAGTACAACAATATCCAAGATTAGCTTTGAAACAAATAATTCATTACAACAATATTACACGCTCCTTTTCTCTATCCTCAGATCTTTCTTTTCTCTTCGGGTTAGCTTATTTATCGGCAATACATATAGATTTAAACGACGCTATTATGTTTGCTTCAATTTGAAATCTATTTCATTAAACAAAAGTTTCACTAAATGAAAGTTTATTATAACATGCTTGTAACTAGGGTTCGTGCGGGATAAGTAGATTTCAAAACATATATATATATATATATACGTATATGTATCAGCGAAAGAATCATTCAATTAGGATAAAAAACATTCTAAATTATTACATAGCTTATTGATGTTTCATTAAATAAAAGTCCTTTACAGTAGATGTCCATATATATCTGCGTTTTTCCTGACAAGTTATTTTTGACTGAAAAAGACCTACAAAAATACTTTTTGGGTTTTTTTTTTCATTTAAAAACTACTTTAAAATATTTTGAACAGATATGTTATTCAGAATCGAGAATTTTGGAGTCTAAATTAATAATAAATAGAGTAGAAAAAAATGAAAGATGGATTAGAAAAATTTAGACAGTAGTTTTTTCGTTCAAAAATTCGGATAAAAAAATCCTGAATAAGTAGAGGAAAAAATAAATAAAAAAGAACCCTATCAGAAGTCCAATTTCAAACAAGTACCACTCTCACTCACTCAAGCAAACTCATATCAACTAGCATAGGAAACCAAACAAGACAAAGAGAAAAATGAAATGTGAAATTTGTACTTTGGGTGAACACATGTAGACGCGGTTCCAGTGGAAACACGAAGCATAAAAATTTGTAACAGGAAAAATACATTGTTACTCCGTAACACCACTCAGTTTGCTGTTTTGAATTGTCCCATCAAACAATGAAAAGTGACAAAAGTTGAACCGACCTGATTTCTGTGTTAAATATTACTCAAATGAATTCATTCTTCCCTTTAATTCAAAAAAAAAAATTTCGGGAACATTTATTCAGAAAATTGAAAATATAACCAACAATGGTAATTGATACAGTCTGCGTATGTTATGTAATTAGCTCTCCCAAATTTTTTTTCAGTTCAATGTACAGCAATTTTTACTTTTCCAAGCTCAAATACGACATTCGATATTTATCCTCTCACCACATATTCTAGTTATATTCCATTCCTCATCAATTTTTCCGCCTTTTCCTCATTCTTTCTTCCGCTTATGTATATTATCATCTACAAAAGACATGTCATAGTAAATCAGGAAAAAAAAGGAAGGAAAAAGACCTTAAAGCACTAAATGCATGGCTCATCTCATGGTCCAGCATCAATTTCGAGATTCTGTATGAACGATTCATTGCTATGAATCAAATATATTACTGAGAGCGCATATGATGTGAAATTGGGAAAACCATCGAATAAAGTACCAACATAAGATATACAGGATTAGTGGAAGATGAAGATATTCAGTGATGACTATCAGTATGGATACATTAGCATACGGTTAGAACGGAACCGGAAAGTACCGGAAAACATAATACACACAGGAAAAAAGGAAAACCGGAAAAAAATGCCGCAAAATTGCCGCCACATAGCTGAATTCATTGTTACATGAAACTAGCCTAACCGCATTTTACCCACTACTTTTAACAAAAGACACGTGATGGCACAATTGCAATCGATAAATATTTGAGAGGTCTAAAATATTACGCGGCGTTCACGGGTATCATCACGCATGCTACGTCTGAAAGAACATGAAGCTCATATAAGATCAAACTTGTCCTAACGTACGCCAATCTTGATGAGAAACGTGAGTGGTATTATGCAGTTCGTGAGTGGTATTATGCAGCCAAGAGGTAATTAATGGGCGCACAAAATATGTCATCGTAAATTTCACGATTGGTCTTTTACTTCCTTTTTTTTTTGGAATTTTGGGAAGTTTTTGATTTGAAAATAAAGAATGATTGGTACTTGAGTTTTCCTCAAGTTTCTAAATCTCAGTTCTACTTATTCAACAATTTTTGGGTTTATTTGCATTAATTAAGGGTCACGCATGAGTTTTCATGATTGAAATTGTTCCTTAAATTTAAAACTATTGTACGAGGTCAAGTGTCGCTTTCAGTGACCTTTGAGACAATATGCCCATATACATTTATGACAAATATGGTATTCATTGAAGCATCAAGCATTAAATGAAACAGTATATCCTTTTGGCGGTACACACGTACGTATGCACATGGTTCGTCGATCTAAGACATGCAAACATTAATATGATGTGACAAGCAATGTAAACACGTACGCGGACTTTACGATGTAGTTTTTCAATGATAAAATTGAGCAAGTTCTTGAGGTGAATCTGATTTCGAATTTCAGTCTTGAAAGAAATATTCATTTTTTTCTAATCTGAATGCAAGCAAGAAAAGAACACATACACAAGACATTTGTCAACTTTAAGCGCTAGATGGAAGCGGTTTATTTCATGTCGTTTATATTTTATCTGTTTATAGTAAACTATTATTTGAAGTTCTGCTCGAAATGCATTTCCTTTTTCTGTCTTCTATAATTTCTTGGCTTAAATTTTGATCCAAAGCCGATATTCTTAGCCAGTTAGGACTTGATTGAATATGAAGGCATAAAATTCCTCGAAAATTTTGAAAAATGTCTTCATCGTTTAAAAAAAAAAAAAAAGAAAAAGAAGAAAAAAAAACCTTCCATGAAATCTGCAAATTTATATTAGTTATTTCTCGATAAAACTGGCATCTTTAAAAAAAGAAAGAAAAGAACATACTTTTCATATGGACCTGATCATCACCATAATTTCTGGAATATTTCAGCCAAAAAGTTCCAGAAAAATAGCAGGATTGGAAATGCAGCGGGATAGATTAGATATTTTGACAGAATATCAAAATCATGCTGATTTCGATGGCTTTGATGACATTACACTGATCAATTGTAAGAAATCTATCCGTTATCAGTATTGTGTCTGAGGTTCCATCGGTGTTTCTTTTTTCTTTTTCAAGAAGCTCAGAAAAAATTTCGAACAAAATAAATTTTGAAGAAAGTTATGGAACACAGATGAGAAAAATTGTTTAAACTAAATTGGAACTATTATCATAAATGCGGAAGAATATGGATCATGTTGTAATCATATTAGTAAGCCTAAAATACTTCTTATGATCGAATTAATTTGACGGTTTGTATCATCGAAAATGTAGTTTTGTTCATTATACTTCCCAATATCTTGCAAAATATTCATTTTAATTCCAAGGGAAACAGATGGAATGTGCAGATGATAGTAAAGCCGTGGTTTGTGACAAACGACCGCTTGATCTATATGGTAAAACAATATGGAAGCCATGCTTGTTCGGCTATATTTGCATCAAGAAATCTGATTGTTAGTATAGTTGGACACTTGAGGCTTTATGCAAGCATAAAGACGTATTCAGCAACAGCATTACCATGCCAACTATTGTTCACTATGCAATCCAACTGATTGATTGAAAATATCAACCAATCATAATATATTATGATTGATTGATATTTTAATGGTATATATTTAGACATACTAATCACGTCAATCATTCCTCTGATCTCTCTCCATTTCCCACCAGATTAAAATCTCGATGGTTTGAAATTACCTGGTCTTTGTGGAGGTAAGAAATCAAGTATGGAGAATAACTAGATAAAGTAGATAAGACGTAATGAACAATATGTGATGTTGAATTGCACAGTGAACAATATTTGGCGTGGTAATGCGTGTTATTGAATACGTCTTTATGCTTGCATAAAGCCTCAAGTGTGTGATAAAAGTTTTTCATTAATTTAGGTGATAAAATTGTACAAGATCGGTTACAAGGGTTTTTTCTTTATTAATTTCACACAGTTCTTACTGCTGCAAAATTTTTTCGAGATTCAAAGTTCCTCAACACATCCATTGGTATTTTTAGTTAACTTTTAGTTACTGCTGGGGCTTCTTTTTTTCCTTTTTTTTTTTTTTTTTTTTTACTTTTTAGTTATTGTTTGTACG